CCATGCACCAGTGTGAGGATCTCGACCCACTCGCCTGACCTGCGCAATCATCTTGGCACGCATCGGGCCAAAGTCGTGCGATAATGTCAGTGAGTCGCGCAGGTGACAGGCAGTGACTGAGCGCACGCAGGCTGAGTGGGGAGCAGTTTCTTCAAGTTAGCTGCGCCGCTCGACCCTTCCAAAGATTTTCTTCGCACAGTTTCTCCAGTTATCCAAACCGTTCCTGTCAGGTTTAGCGTGGGAAGTCGCGCAAGCCATGGAAGAGCTCTACTAGATCTGATTATTTGCATATACACTGGGTTTTCCATCTAGTATCTTTTTGGCATTCTGCACTGGGAGATGTTGCAAAGGCCGCAATAGCTGCGAACAGCTTTGTCTCCTGACTCTGACGGTGAAGGCAGGTACTCGTATCTATTGGAGTTTTTGCCGAGAGATGTATCACAGCGATGAGAAATGTTCTGTTGCAGCTGCAAGGACACATTCGATGCCGAGACGGTTGTCAGATTTGCCAATCCCTTGTTGGTTGTGACTTCTACAAGATCTGTTCAGGTTGCCGTAGAACGGAGAAGTCCAAGCAGATGACGCTTACAAAATGCCTCATCTGCATGGCAAAAATGACGTCAAGGCCGATTGACTGAATTCGTCTTTGAATTTGAGTCGCACAGGTTCGAAAGGGGGTGTGAAAAATCATCCTATGTGTAGCTAGCGTAGCGATCTTGTGCTTGAACTTAGGTAGTTGAGAGGTGTTTTGTAGTTGTAGTTTGTGGACTTGAGTAGTTCGGACTTCGTTTTGTAGTTAGCAGGTGATCGTGATGTAGTTAGTTAATCTCATCTGATTACGTCACAGAGAGTTGTGACGTAGTTGCCATTTTTTTGGATTTGCACGTTTTGAGATATTCCACTCGAGAGCAACTTGCACGAAACCAATCGGAGAGTTTTTAGGAACCGAGAAACCTGTTTTGCATGTTTCTAGATTGGTAGAGTTGTTTTTGCATGACTAGATTTGTAGACTTTTTGGAATTTCCTTAACTGGACTGGAATCTAGTTTGCTTTACCCACAGAAACTCACTTGGTTTCTGTGTTCTGAACTGTGTTGACCAACGTGAACGTTGGCTCAAGCCTGCGAGAGCGAAAAGTGTGTGAGTGTGTCGCCGTGAGACGGCCTGGGAGAGTCGAGACTGCAGAAACACGAAACGACCACCGTTTGTTTTTGTTTTGGTCTGGGTTTACTTTGAGCACGAGAGGTTTGAAAGCGGTTTTCGTGGTCTAACTTTGTGTGTCAAAGTTTTACGGATGGAGTAAGAATCTGCTTAGGGAAAGAGGTGGGACGGTGAAGTATTGAAGGCTTTCTCACATCGTTTCGATATCGTGTCAATTACATTGGGTAATTGAATTGAAACATGGCACGAAGTAGCGGAGTAGCGCGGAGTAGCGAAGGATTGGTGAATGTTGTGTGGGTCGTGCGCTGCATCGCAATCGCCTTATTGGAGCCAGTGAACGGAGACAGCTGATACCACATGTGCGCTTTCAGGTTCCATTTTTGGGGCTGGAAAGTCGATTGAAATCAGGCTTCGCATGTGCGGGCCTCCTCTGTTCCAAATCTGTATGCTTTTTGCTTAAATGAACGCAGTTGTAATTTTTGTTTGTTGCGCGGGTTGGCCTTTGTTGTTGATTTTGCGGTCTCATTTTTGGTACCGCCAGACGGTCCCAAAAATGGGCCCGTGAAAATGCTTTTCTTTTGTTCTTTTACTAAGCTGTGCATGCGGTCCCAAAAATGGGACCGCCAGGTGGTCCCATTTTTGGGACCGTGTTAAGGTTCATTTTTGTAAAGTTTTTTGCATCGGGGTTGAAGAAGCGCCATATTTTGTTTTCAATAGAAACTTTGTGGCTTATGGCGACCGGAAACGCAAGTAGGGAGGCCCTTTTGAGCGAAGCCGGTTTTGAGAATGTTTCCCGGACCCAGAATTGGGTCCGTCGGAGCAAGCTGTTTTGTAGATGATTTTGTTTCTTGTTGGGGTAAGCGGGGTGCATATCCGTTGCTGCTTGAACCTGGTGGAAGTTAGCTTCTTATTATTTCGTTTCGTCTGGTGGCTTGATTGTTTGCTTCTAAAAGAAGGACCATCAGCCTTTTGCAGCGTTAGGTTAGGTGATTGCTTGAGGTGTTTCTTGTTGTTGCGGAGTTTGCGGGTTTTCGCGCAGGTGGCCGGCTTCCATGTGGATGATTGTATTGAATACTTTACCGCTCCTTGTTGGCGCCCCTTGCCCCGTCTAGACTCCTACCGAAGTTTTCAGCCCGGAAGGAAAATGAATCATGATCTCTCAGTCAATCCCGTTATTAATTTATAATATACAGTATAAATTTAAAACGGGATGGAGTAAGAATCTGCTTAGGGAAAGAGGTGGGACGGTGAAGTATTGAAGGCTTTCTTACTCCGTCATCGTTTCGATATCGTGTCAATTACATTGGGTAATTGAATGAAAACATAGCACGGAGTAGCGGAGTAGCGCGGAGTAGCGAAGGATAGGTGAATGTTGCCTGGGTCGTGCTGCATCGCAATCGCCACATTGGAGCCAGTGAACGGAGACAGCTGATACCACATGTGCGCTTTCAGGTTCCATTTTTGGGGCTGGAAAGTCGATTGAAATCAGGCTTCGCATGTGCGGGCCTCCTCATGTTGAGGGAGCAAACTGGTCCAATAGTCTCGCTGCATGAGCACCTGCATGTTCAGACTTGTCCAGTGCTTGCCAAACTGATGAATCCTGTCCCAGGTCCTGCAAAATTGCCTGCCATTCTTGCACTAACCAAGTGGACTGAGACAGGCAACGTAAACGCAAAAGCTGCGAGGAATTGGCTTGACTGGACTGGTCTTTGAAAACTCCTGTCTGTGTTGTTTTGATATGATTGCCATGCGCCGACTGCAAATGGGAATGCAAGACATGTGTAGGACGACGCATCTGTCCAACTGAGGGTTCCACCGGCGGTACTGGAGTCTGCAGTGACTTGGATCTGACTTTCGGGGTTGGAATCTGTAAGCCACCAACATGCAACTGGGGTCCCCTAGACTTCGGTCTGTTTGGAAAATTACCCGCTTGAGGAATTGGCAATGGGCTCCCTAGCAAACCACTACTCTTGGCAACAGCTGGAATAAAGACCCAGTCAGTCAGGCTCGGGTCAGCGCTCGTCTTCCTCTGAGGACTCAACGTCAGATCCATCCGGAGATGCTGGCTGGTGACCACTTTCAAGGCGTGGAGTGGCCACGGCAGTAACAGAAGAGAACTCGAAGAAAATGTAAACCCTACCAGTGGTCCGTTGCAAACTAATCCAGCCCCGTGGAAGTGCAAATTGAAAAATGAGTGTTCTGCAGGATCTATTGGTGCCACACGACAAAAAAATTGCCTGCCAACTGGGTGAACTCACCCTGCTCAGGGTGATGAAGTGCCGGGCCAATACAACCCGGTTGCCATCGCTGCGAGATCCTACCGCTAATGAGATCACGCTGCGAGATCCTACCGCTAATGAGATCATGCCATCTGGAAATGCAAAAAATATTGTCTGACAAAAATATGCTATCTGAACAAATGAACATGTTTGGACACATGCGGAATGACCAAGCCAGCACCCCGAGACCAACAGAGGATAGCCCCCTTAACATGTACTTGGAGGGTAGAAAATTTGAAGTGGAATCCCCATAAAGGTTCCCACCATGGCCGCAGAAAAACATGCTTTTTGAAAGAAATGAATGCTTACTTTGAGCCAAAATGAATGAAGCATTCCATTGATTAAAACACAAACGAAACAAGTACGTTAAGAATTCACCCCAATCTTTGCTTTGAATGTGCATTGGCTATTGCATGTCTGTGACACATGTTCTGAACCTTTCAGCTCTCTCACCCAGTCCACGGTTTCTATGGTATCGGTATAGTCTTTGGCATATATTTCGGATTGTTGTCAGCACGTGCAATGAGTCCGTCAGGATTTGGCACTGAAGTCGCATCCAGTAAAACCACAATTGCTTGTTGCAGTTGACTGGATTCGTTCCATCTCTCACCTGCCAGCGCATGATTTTGGTCTCCCCGAAGATTTTCCAGCAGGTAGTAGTGTCACCAGGGGAAATCTCCGGATCACTTGTTGGCGCTTCCTCTTCTGCATTCTCTTGTCCATCGTTGGCATCCATTGTAACATCGGTTGTATCTGCTCGGTGGACGTCCGGTTTTAATTCCTCCAAGTACCTTCTTCAGCTGCACTGTCCCAACAAAGGCTTCGAACCCGAAAATTTCAGATGCCCAAAAACAAGCTCAAAACTGACACCTACTGACCTACTGGGAAGACTCATTTTTGCGGGTCTGTTTTTGCTGACAAGCATCGTGAGATGTGCCGCAGAGTAGCACATCACTCCCCCTTCCTGTTGGTTTTTTTCAACTTCTTCGGAGTGTGGCCGATTTAGGGTTTTTCCGTACAATCAACAGCCTGGGCTTGGTACTTTCGAGTTTAACAGAAGGTCAAATGGCAGATGCTCTGGTCACAATTTCACTTGGCAAGAGCACTGACTGCACTGCAGGCAGCCAGATCACAATTAAGGCAGTGCGGTGGATTGCAACTCATGCTGGAGTCCAGGCCCTCAAAGTTTCTTGGAGTCCCCTGGTGGAGAGCTTCTTGAAAAGTCGCATTCCCAAGGAGTTGAAAGAGTCATTGCCTTTTTCACTATTTGCCATGGTCCAACTGGAGCGCCGAATTTTGATGTCCTCCTGCTCCACCTATGAAGTAGTGCTGATAGGAGCCATTTTGGTTTGCACCTGGGCGGGACTCAGATTTGCAGATGCGCAGCGCTGCAGCTACAGAACTATGTGCTTCGATGGCAAATCCCTACGAGGCACTTGCTGGAGGACGAAGACCTCGAGCCGGGGTCAACCATGGGGAATTATTTCTTCAGGCATGCTGTCATTAGACAGTTTTTCTTGGGTTGAGAAGTGGCTTGTCACCGGACTTTCTTTTTCCACAGGTCCGGAACGATGGAGTGGCGGTGCCTTGGGCCCCCATGTCATATGCAGCGGCTCTGGTGTGGATCAGAAAGCTGACTGCATTGCCTTGGAAGTCGCAAACTCAGCAATCATCGCAGTGGACAGCCAACTCCATGAAAAGCACGATGTTGTCATGGGGGTCACAAATGGTAGCTTTGGGGACGGTCTCCCAAGAAGAAAGACTGCTCCAGGGACACCACAGACAGAGCGCGAATCGCAGCCTGCGAGTCTATTCCAGGGACGATGTGCATGGCCAATTGGCCTTCCAGTCCAAAGTCGTCGAGCATGTCCGCCGAGGTGGCCGCTTTACCACCCCATTGCATCGGGGGGCCCAACACCTACAGTGGAGCCGGGGGTCCAGATGGAGTTCTTCAGGAAATCCTCATTGGATTATACATGGAAGTGTTTCAACTTTTTGGAGACCCCTGATGCCACAGCACAGGAGGTGTCAGACGGCCCACTTTTTGACAGTGGATCGGACAGAGCTCTTCGTCGTCTGAGTCTGATGAGGAGTGCATGCAGAGGCCTTCGAAGAAAGGCCGCAAAACAGTTGAGCAGGATGTACCGGATGAACTGGTGATTGCATATGTTTCCAGGGTGCAGCATGCAATGTTGGAATCCAATCAGGATTGGCACCCCTATCTGGAGGGGAAACACTATCAAGCAGCTTGCGGGGCACGCCTTGACCCCGATGGCACCCGGTTCGACAGAGCCGCAGACCCTGGGCTAGCTTTGTGCCAACGCCAAGCCACCTTGCTGTGAAGCATACCCCTAGTGGCCGCATGCCACGAGCATACAGCACTGACGCTTCAGTCGCTCTTTCAGCAAAAAAGGGGCGGTCAGCCTCCCCATGTCGTTGCGTTTTGATCAGTTATACCATGTCATAGTGAAGCAATTTTCCACAAACCATTTTCTTGTCAGCCGGCATCAGACATGTTTGAGAAGCCATGTTCTCTTTCATTCAAGGCAAAGCAACACACGGTGGAGTTTGGTTTATGTTTGTCACATCAGTATTTTTTTTGGAGCGTTGGCCAACACTGCGGGTATATGTTCATCCCGAACTGGCCACATGCACTTCAGTGATTCAGCATTTTTCGATTGCCGGTGGCTCAGCAAAACAAAAAAAATTGGCAACTTTTTTCCATGTTGTGACATCATGCAGGTTGCTCGAATGACAACATTCATAACAATCTGAGTGTATCTAGCAAGAGTACAAGTTTTTCAACACACGTGCAGTCAACTTCATTTTCACTTGTTTTCTCCATTGCGAGGGCGCCAGTGTGTGAGTCATGGATTCCTCATTGGACACAGTCTTGGGAGACGCTGGGGTAGACCCTACACTCTTCGAACAGTGCATCTGAAAAATCTGAAGGCACTGACACGACCTCTCTAAATGAAACCACTGTCCAACCGTCTGCTACTAGGGATGCATGAAGTGTGAGGCCCTTCTCGGCACAAAAGAGCCGAGCGCGTTTCTTCGCAGATGTAGATGATGTATGCGACGTAGCTGAAGTTGTTGATGTAGGTAATGTAAAGGATGTAGGTAATGTAAAGGATGTAGGAAATGTTTTGTAGATGAAGTGAAAAGTTGAATTTGGCAGCAATTCTTTCGGAAACACCTTTGCAGGAACTTTTGGGGAAAAATGGAAATTATACAAATGAACGTCTCAACTCATGGAATGCCAAGCAAAGGAATACATGCGACATGGGGCTATCAGGTCGGCATTTTACTGTGTATGCATGTTTGACAATGGTTGAAACAGTACATTGGGACACAGTTTGCAACATGTTGTTTTAATCGGTTGGCACATGCAAATTTTGCATGTGTGTCGTTTGTTTCATGGTTTTGTTTGGTAATTGATTTGAGTGGTGTTTGGTGTTTTGCCGTTAATTTTATTTCCCCAGCATTAAAACATTAAGGTAACCGTGTTCGTGAGGAAGGTCAACCATCGCAATTGTTTTGATCAGATCGCAATTCCGACCCACAAAATAGAATAGTACTGCTAGATGCATGCGCAACCCCACTGTTTCATAAACAATCATAAGTAACATGTCCACTGTAAATACAAATAACATTTGGTTTTATGATTTTTGGTGTTGATTTGCACAGCATCATGCAGAATGCTTTCAATTACATTCCATGTTTCACAGCAAACTACGAACACAACTTCCGCATCGCAATGGCAAAACAAGTGCGTGGATACGCGCAACCAATCAAGCCACCAGCCTACAAACGTGTGAATCGCCAAACTTGGAAGTTGTTTTGCAGTGCTTTGTTTGGATTTGCTTTGCATATTTGACAGGTTTTGCACTGGTTGAAACCTCAGACGGTTGTTAGAATTTGTTGGATGCCGATTATGCAAATGGTGGCACGCGTATGTGACATGTATGAATTTGGGAACATCATGAAAATTTAGTTTTGCTTAGTAAATTGGAAGTACTTGAGATTCTTGGGACGTACAGTATACATTAAACTTTGGTTAGGCCTCAAGTTCCAAATTCGTTTTACGGTCAATTTTCCTCGCCATGACGCACAGTCTCTCGGAGGGTGAGAATGCATTGGTTGGAATCACGGCCGGCATCGCTGATATCACCTGCATTCAGTGGGCCTACTACCTGAAGAATGCCCGGCAGCAAAGATTGCCTCTGACCTTGAATCCACGGATTTTGTACCGCGGGTATGTGGCTAATTGTGCAAATGTTGCAGCAGGTACCAGTTTTCAGTTTGCCACTGCTGGTGCTCTAAACAAACTTGTGCTACGTGGAGCGCAGCGTGAACTCACAGACGTGGAGAAGGTCGGTACAGGCTTGGCAAAAAGTCAACGAATGCAAATTGTTTATGTTTAAGTTTACTTGCTCCAAAGACAAATTGCCAGTGCTTACAACATTGTTATTTGCTTGGCTATGCCTGGCTGTTCCAGGTTTCCTTGCGGGTTTTGCATCTGGAGTGGTCGCTTCGCCGGCCGAATTAGTGATGACACAGCAGCAGCTGAAAGGCGGTTCAGTCTTGCAAAATGTCAGGGCCTTCAGCGAACTGGAAGGGTTCGAGAAATCACCTGAGTTGATTCAATCTGATTCTGTAAATCTTTGGAGTGATTTGGTTTCAGGCCTTGAAATTTGACAAATTTGGGCAGTTTGGAACTACATTCGAACACGCTATTTGTTCTCAGGTGACAAATCTGTTGCCGACGGGACCTTCGACCGTGTTTAAGGGATTCTTTCCTACATGTATCCGTGAGGCTGGGGTAGCAAATGCGACAACTTCGTTTGAAACACCAGGCAAAAAAAATCATGACTAATTTTCCATACTTTCCTTCACTTTCATGATCAATCATGGTTCAAAATGTACCAGTACACTTTGTATACATGAAAAAATTGCATATCTTGTCTCTCCCAAGTCTTTTTGCAGGGCCTCTTCACTGCAGCTTATCTGGGGGTTGCTCCAGTACTGCGCACGCACTTGTCTTCAGATCCTTGGACCAAGACTAGCAGGGTAGAAAACTGGTAGAGTCACTCTTAAAGTCTTGATGCCGCATTCTTTATTTGCAGCAGTACAACTTTTGATGCGATGGCAATCAGACACAGTTTTTGAAAAATCTAAGGCCTTTCCAGGGACAAACGAGGACCAATCCTGCAACAGTTTCTGACCTCTGCATCCTGCTGCATGGCACAGTTGACATGACATTTTGTTATTCATTTTTTCAGGAGCTGCATCGCGTACTGGCAGCCACTGCTGGTGCCGCCTGTTCAGGCATTCTGTCGCACCCGTCGCTCACTCAGAATGTCCTTCTATTGAATTACATCTATCATAATGAAGCGTGCAGTTTTTCTGCTTTGATGTTGAAGAGATAGCCTCTTTCAGAACATCAGCTGAGGTTTGACACTGCCTGTGGCTAAGTTGTCGCGATGAAACTTTGCAGCATTGCAAACGACAATGCTGCAAAGCATCTTGTGCCGAGGCCAAGACGTGCATGCAGGGTGACATCGAGCGTAAAACTTATGGCAGCTTCCTTCAAACCTGCAAAGAAATCCATAGCTCCGGTGGCTATGGCAGCTTCTACCGTGGCCTTGAGTTTCGATTCTTGCGCCAAGTCTGGCAAGTTTGGGTTTTGGACCTGCTGCGGGTGAAATTGTCACCAGTTCTTTTTCCATACAGGTTCAAAGCCGATACCAGTCTGTCACTTGAGCTGAACGTTGCATAGTTTGCATTCTGCCGTAGCCAGAGATGTCATGATCCTGGAACTCCTTCGGGAGCGTGACTATGGCGCCATGCCATGGCAAGGCCATGGCAAGATATATCTCACTGTGACGGGCAACGTCCCTCAACTATTTTTCAGAGTTGGGTGGTTTGCAAGACTCACAAGAAGTTGTGAGCCAATCTTCGCTGGAGCAAAAGATTCGACGCATCAGCTGCACGACATGACCGTGCCTCAATGGAGCTGACCAAATTGTTGTCTTCTGCATTCATCATGACATCGCTGCGCAGCAAATCTCTGTGTTGTGTGCCCATTGTTGTTGATTGTTGCGCCATAAGCAAAAAATCTGAAAACTATTGAGGCCAGAGACGACTTTCATCAACGCTTGTAGCTTCTGGCCCAGAAAGTGTCGACTGCAGATCTTGTGGCCAGCTTTGCTACATGCACACACACACATATATATATATGATATTATTTATTTATGTATTTATTTATTTATTTTTTTAAAACATGTTTTATCTATTATATTTTTTTAAATGGTTTATTCCTTTATTTATTTATTTATTTATTATATACACAAACGCATGGACATGTATGCATTATGTGAATATGCGGTACATTAAGTCTTTGTGGGATTCCAAGGCGAGACTTATCGCAGTTCTCGCTGGGGTACTTTGCCATGTCCCTAGACTTCACAGCTTGAGTCAGGCAGCGCAGTCAGGGTCTTCACAATGCTTCAGGCTGGACTTCGCTGACAGCCTGGCATCCATGCTTTTGTGCCGGACCCCCAGAAATCAGGACTCTTCAACTCTTCAAGACTCCTTCAGGATTCTTCAGCACTCTGCTGTTGTTTTGGAATTGGTCCAGGCCACTGGCAAAGCAACACTACCAAGAAGTCGGCGACCGAGTTTTTCTTTCATGAAGAGCCAGGGTTGCAAAATTCAAGAGCTGCAAACAGGAACATGTTTGCGTTCGCAGGTTCTTCTGTGGCAATGAAGGTTCATGTTGGTGAGCCGGCTTTCAGACCTGCATATGGAAGTCCTGGCATGCTTGGTGCTTTTTGCAACTGTTCTGAGCTTGTCTTTAGTTAATGTACTTCTACATCTTCTACCAGGTTATAAATTTGTAACACATAAATTGTCATACATAAGCAACATGGAAGACTAACCGGTCAACTCTCCTCTATCTCAAAAACACCAGCGAGCAAAGGATAACTATATACATAGTTTCGAAACAGCCGGGAAGCAGACAGATGCCAGAAGAACCAGAAGCAACAGAAAAGTTCAATAGTTCACCCGCAAAGAACATGCAGAAAATAGTGAGCGATGTGGTCGGCAGCGACATAGGTACCTGACAGCGACAAGGACAGCTACTGTACAGCGGCAGCAACAACTAGAAGTGCAATGTTACGACAGCCACAGTGAAAATGATAAGACAAGGAAGACTGGAAAGAAGACCGCCCAAGAAAAAGAATAAAAGTAAACATGAAACACAGGACCTCGAAGCACTGAATTCAGAAACAGGAACATGAAAAAACATATCACAGTCAACAGGGCTATTGATGTTGCGGCTGTTCTCTGATCAACGGCTGTCTTGATTGTGGTGTTGGTGCGCAGGCTTTGAGCGAGCATCGCCACTGGGGCCCAAAGCGCTAGAGGGCGAGGCTTCTTCTTAGATCCAAAGAAGTGAGCAGCTACACCCTGCAATGCCCTGCAACGCCCTGCTACGCCCTCTTGTTAGGCAGTTCCTGGCCTTCAGCTGTGGCTCTCAAAGATGGGATTGGAGGCCAGAGACAGCGCGGATCCAGTGCTGACCTTCTGAACTACATGGACTTCTGACCTCAGCTTGGAAGGACCACATGCCTGCAGCGAATCAGTGGTGTGAAGAGATGGGCGTTTTGCTCGGCCAGTGAGGCATTTTTTTCTGAATTCGATCATGTATCTTTAGCTGATCAGCTGAATGCCAACTACCTTCTTTGCAACGTGTTTCGTCAAGGTGCGTCAGTCATGGAGGAAATCATGGAAGATTTGGATGGCTTTGCAGAGGCTCGAATGGATAGGTCCCCTTCGGCATATACTTTCAGTATGCTACTGCGTCAACACACACTGCAGGCTTTGGAGATGCCAGAAGAGGACGTACAAACTTTGAAGAAGTTTCCTGATTCGCAAAGACTAGGGCTAGGGTTTGTTTTGTTGACCTTTTGTTGACCGGTCATAGTAAGTCCTGCGACTTTGCCCTGGTGCGCAAACTCCTTTGAGGCGTGGGCGTGTAGCCCTATCAAATTTGCTTCAGCGCGGAGAGCTCGAGCCCAATTTTTTCCTTACCTCAATCTTCTCATGGGCAAGCTGAAAATCATACTTTGGACTCCAACTGGCCCGGCTATTGGCATCAGTTTTTGATATGATGTCCTGATACTACTGACACGACACCAAATGCTGTCAATTGTCTTGAATGCTCAGGATCAGCGAGCAGAAAGCTGTGGTGGGCTCCGTCGAGGAGACGGGTTCGGCGCTGCTGGGGCCAGTTTTTCATTAGTTTTTCACGAAGTCTACCAATTTCTTTCAGTTGCGAGTTGTCCAGCAGGATTATAAAGCATCTGGGCGCACGTTTTTGAAAAGGCAGGGAACGTGCAAAAATGTTTTCTTGGCACATCTAAGACAGGACACACTTGAGATGGACTATTCAACCAGAAATATCCAGTAACCTTTCTCAGCCAAACTATGGCTACACTCCGAGAGAGGCGGCCTGAGAAAGCTTCTTGATTGTGAGCAGCTGAGTGCGCTGACAATGTTTGGAATCATTGACTTGAATCATTGGGCCATTGGGCTCTCCTACCCACCAAGGTGTGCGCTTCTTGATACACGTTTCACTGTTGCAATCAGAATCCGTTTGAATGTAGCATTGTAGACATAGATGAAGATGAAGCTCCGCTTCGCATTGCAGATAAGAAAGTGCTAGCGGCCAACACATGTTTCACACAGGCTGCTGAAAGGCAGACCAACGGCATGTTTGCACCGTTGGAATCGGATGCCCTCACAGATGCACAGACTTCAGATATGCAGAGCGAGTTGGACTGAATTGGACTGATATTTCTTGGCATGGCTCAAGCTTCGATGTGCCAGTAGGTGTTGTTGGACCTTTAATACAGTTGACAATTAACCAAAAGTCAAAAGCTTGAATTTGTATATTTTTGGATTTTGCCTTTGTTATCAAGATCGTCGTTTTGCTAGTGCTTGAGAAAGATTTAAAGAACATGATCAACAATGCCACCTTTGACAACTTGCTAACAGTCTTTGGTCTCCTTACAATGCTACTGCCATTTCCTCATCGCGGATGCTGGGGTCCGCCTGGAGCTCACACCACAGCAAACTGATCCGAACAGTCTTTATATGCAAGAATCAACCACAATCTTGCAAGGCTGTACCAGTAGCAAGCCCAAGCCCACCAGCCAAAGCCTCAGGTTTCCCAGCTGTTGATTACCATTTTGTTTCCTCTTTGTCTATGTATGTATATATATATATACATACATACATACATATTGATATATATATATTGCGAAACCTTATGGATATATCCAAATCAGAATGGGGAGACCCTGTCTCACAACCGCTGTAGCCCCTTTTGACCTGTTGCTCAAGTTGTCCGCTCCCACCCACCTCAACTGAAGCCATGATTGGCGAGGCCAAGGAGTTCGTGTCAACTGCCGGATCAAGTGGCATCCAAGGATCTCATGATGGAACAAAGGTTGAAAGAAATCACACTCGTCAAAATTTTTAAATTTCAATTTTTTTTTGACGTCATGTTTTCCATGAGATCCGGATACTTGCCTTTGATCCTGGATTCCTGCTCTGAGAGCCATTTCAAGCGTTCTTTCTTGTCAGCACGCTGCTTGAGGATATCCAATTCATCAAACAGTGAGTACTTCCCCAAAGCAATCGCACGACGCAATACCCCACTGCCCATGGCTTTCGTGAGGCAGTCTGCTAACATGGCTTGACTGCACACCCAACGCAGCTTGCAGTTTTCCGTCAGTCTTTCCCTAATCAAAAGACACTCTATGGTCGTTCGAAACTCTTCACAGACCGGTGTGGAGGTCCTGGTTGACAAATCAAAAACGGATTTGCAATCTGTCGCTATGGATGCTACTGGACATGTACGCAAAACTTCGGCCGGGTCGGTCCAATTTATGCTCGGATTACACAGCCAAGCCCACAAGATTCTGAGCCAGCTTAAACGGTCCAGTGAACCACTGAGTGCAGTGGCTTCTGCACTAAGGGTGCTTCGCACCACCCGAGGTATCTTACGACTGGACCAAGCAATTGGACAAATCACGGACAGTTGGTTTTGGGCCATTTTTGAATCCGTTGTAAAAATGATAGTCCCTTGCCTGGATGCAGAACCCCGTTTTGTCTCAAAAGAGGCATCTGAAAAAGCACAAAACGAAACCTGGTCCTCTCTAATAGGAACAATCACCAAATTGACTGGATTCTTTTTGGCCTCCAACAAAACACGATTGGCTTCCAAGAGGTCTTCTATACATGCTTTGGGTATTTGGGACTGCAAAATTCCGACCTTGGCACTGATGTCCGGTCGGGTTTGTACCGCCGCATACTGAAGGGATCCACACAGCTGCCGGAGAAATTGTCTCTCCATTTCATTCACAGGTGCTTGAGGTTCCTTACGTCGATGACGTTCCACTTGGATTGGATCAATCCTCTCTATGTACTTCTTCTGACTCATTTCAATACTTCCATCCCTCCACTGACTATAGTGTATTCCACAAAAGTCAAACTCCCCAATATTGAATGCTCCAAACGAGTACTTCTCCCTAAGACGATCAATCGTTTTCATAAAATACTCATCCCCACCTCCAATTCCATCATCGACGTGGATCCCGAGCACACCGCGCACCCTGGGTTTACCTTGGGTATCCTTAGTGATTAAAGAGAACACGCACCCATCCAACGGACATGTCATGAAGCCTAGTTCTTCCAATGTCTCTCGAAAGGACTGGTACCACAAAAATGGTGCATCAATTCTCCCATAGGCTCCACCAACAAGTCCACACTGTTCATTTTCCTTCATATCCAAAGCAGAAGCTACTTCTTTGGGCGCATGGATACCCAGGGCACGGCCGTCACCTGCACCCTTTAGAAAAGCCGTAGAGACATCGAAATTCAGCAAAGGCCACTTCGCACTTGCAACCTTCTGCAGCAGAAGTTGTTTGCCATCTTTACTCAAAGTAGGAGCATCATTTGGAACACTGTTGATGTCTGGGTCCTCAAAACCTAAGATGACAAGTCTTGCTTTTGCCCTCTGCTGTGAGGTGCCAGGAAGAGGATCTTTCCAGGTTAAAATCCAGCGGCATCGCATTATTCTATTTTCAGGAAGGGTGCCCTTAGCCAGCTTTCGCACTGTACCATGGCTGATCCAGGCATTGACCTCTTTTTCTTTGGCCTGTCTGAACAGCTCCTTGTCAGAATCGCTAAGGTTCCGCCACTGAACTTCAACCCTCTGCCTTTTGGCAGTGGTGGCAATCAAAATGCACTCAGCTAATTGGCCATCTGTCACATCAGTGTCCGATGACAGATCGAAAACCTCTTGGAACGAGATCTCCCAGAGACCCGGTTCTCCATTGTTGGATTGGCAGTCATCCCCAAAAGCAAACAAACCATCATCTTCCCCATTATCACCCATATCCTCATCATCATCATCATCAGGAACAGGAATTGACAAACCACCCAAATCACCAGGAACAAGAGGGGATTCTGTTTCTTCTATTTCGGGTACACCACCATCCATGAAACTTTCCGGGGGAGATGCTTCATTTTCAGGTTGTTCACTGTCAATTGCCATTTGAGAAGAAGGTGCTAAAGAGGGTTCGTATTCATGATCTTCTACAGTCGGCAGGTCATCCAGCGAGACAAAATTACGGGCTTTGGAGGATATCTCTTCATTTCGAACTACCCCACTGGAATCCCTAGGAAGTGCCATGTACTCTCTCATCGAAGCTGGCCTGAGATGTTGAGGACTTGCCCTTATGAGGTATCCTCCATGACACAGCCAAATGACCTTGTTTTTCTCAACTGTGATCACTTGTGCTGGACCATACCAGCGACCTCGTTCATGACGAATGTTCCCTCTCACTCGCTTCCAGTACAGCACCCAATCACCGGCTTCGAATTCAATTGACCCTGGACGACTACGCCTGAGAAGAGCACGTCTGCAGGAACTATCGTTATCTGCCTGAACAAAGGCTCTTCTGGCCTGCTCTCTGCGCTGTAAACTTTCCCGAAAATGGAGTCCTTCGGGGGTCGGACTTTCAGCAAGCAGATGTGCTCCTGTGTTGTCATCCGACGTCAAGGATGCGGGAAGGGCCCTGGCTTTTCCAAGCAAGGCTTGTTCGGGTGTAAAACCCCGTGCACGAGATAGTGCGTTTTTCGCACTGAACGCTTGTCGCAAACATCGTTTAAAATCTTCGGAATCTCGCACAGGACTTTCTTGGTCCATTCTGGTGAGCATGTCTTTTATGATATGACCATGAATCTCAGTCCTACCAATCTGCCAATGACTATCCCCAGCGGCCATGACCACTCGAATGTTTTCCCCCTGAAGATAGTCATTCCATTTTGGACTTACATACTCCCCAGCCGGATCTAAGTACAGAGTTTTACAAGGGCCAGCCCATTGAAGCCATGTATCTTCGAAAGTTCGAATTTGCTCTTCAACGGTCCTACCGCTAAGTGCCCCAACATGAAAAAGTGTGCTCTCATCAATGAAATGCATGAAATGATATGTTTGCCCCAACTTAGACTTCCAATGAACCCCATCCGCACCAACAACATCGTTAAAATCAAGATTCCCATGAATGGCAGCTGGATGAGACAACTTTGGTTTTCTCAAAGACTCGAGGCAAACATCACACTGCATGTCTAGAGCACCTGCAATTACTGCAGGATCGGCACCTTGATCGGTCAGGAGCCGATGGAGTCTTGCCGGATCTGGATGTCCCAAATTTTGGTGCAACCTTCTTAAATCTGCCTTCTGCTCTGGCGCCAATGAGCGAAATGCAGGACCATGCACTGGAGTGATTTTCGGTGGCCATCCAGCTATGGGCAATTCCCCAACCTCCTTGGACCATGTGTTATCAGTCTTTTCTACTTGGAATTCTGCAGGGACATTCATTGAACTTGGAGCCCCGGGATCTTCTTGAGGTTCCATTGGCGCATCACTCTCCTCAGGAGAAATTCCATGAGAACCGCTGGACCCACCAATCAAGGACCTCTTACCGAAAACACTCATGGAAACACGTGCTGGACCAGACTTACGAACCTGTTTTGCCTTGGAGAGGTGCTGCCACTCTTCAAAGTTTCCAAGATCCCTGATGTTCCCAGTGCTTCTGCAGACCAGAAGTGTTTTGCGCAGAGGGATTTCATCTCTGGCATGCTCTGGTGCTGGCACTCGGTGCCTTTCCGTGCCTTTGCACATCAGCACGAATTTGAGATCCACTTGTGGAAATTGCTGTTGAATCCTGAGAACTCTTGGATCAGGAGCATGAAAGTACACATTACCAACCCTGGGGATATCCCTCTCAAACTCAGCAAAAACACTTTTCCAAAACACCTGCCATTGGGGGGAATGTGTTTCTAGCTCACCAGGATTCGGTGGACTCTTTGTTTCATGCCGACGACGGTGGACTCTCCGCAGCTCTAAAACTTCCTGTGCCATTTGTCGCTTTACCCCCTTACTGGGAACTTCTTCTCCAACCAAAAGTTCATCCAACAACAAAGGGTCCTCCTCACAAACACGGCTCAACATCATACCCTTTGCTACCCTACGTGCAAATATCGCAGTATAGGCAGCAGCATAGGCAGATATCTTTGACCATCCATGTTGTGGGTGTTTGAAGTTTCCTTTGATTGGTTCATGTTCATGCGTTCCCTGACAGTTGACATTATGCAGCTGAGCATGAACAATTCGACTTGTGGTCAACACTTGTGTTCGTTTCTTCAAGAACTTGTCAACATTGGGGGCCTTCAGTCTACCTGCCTGGCACATGTCGAAGAAAGCTGGGAGTGTGCCCATGATTGTTTCCTGAAGTCTGGGTTGCAACACCATCTCTGATCCCCTTGGTTGTTCCAAGTGAAAGTGACGTCCCATTGCTACTTGGTGAAGGTATAGTTGATTACATAAATCAAGATGAATTTCATCGTTTTGACGACCCTGAAGAATGGAGGCTTGAGTTTCTTGACTGCGACCCATATTAAACCTTGAAAAAGAACCCCAAAATTTACACTCTGGTGCAACCCAAATATTTCTTGGTTCATACATGTGAACCCACATCCAAAGTTTGTTGATCCCTTCTGAGGTTCGTAAATCCCCGTCCTGAATGGTAAACCGCAAAGCACAACCACCAAGTTTGGTTACCTGTTGGGTAAGCTGTGAATTTGGTTCACAGTACACCTCCAAGAGATCAACTGGCCGACTCGGTGTGAGTTTTTCCGACTTCAGGGGCGCACGAACAATGGAAGGATGCTTCTTTTTGATTTGTTCAAGATTATTCTCAATTTCTCCTACCAGAACATCCATCTTTTGCTGAAGCATCCTAAGTTGATCTTGACTGATCAATTGAGAGGTGGCTCTTCCCCCTCGTCGGTTGGAACCTGAGTCTCGCGTGCAAGCTCTCTTTGGAGCACTGCGATCTGCGTTTGCAGCATTCTCACTCTCTCGGGGTTGGGGTCTGTCGGCATCATCGAGCTGTTGGCCATCGTGCTCGGTTCGTTGGGACGCTTGTTCTTCTCCTTCTTCATGATCTCGACATCGGAAATCACCTGCCAGTCTTCCGTCTTTTCCAGCTTCGGGGCTGCTTTCGGTAGCGCTTTTCCTTTGGGCAGTGCTGTCGAGGTGACATAGTTGGCTGTCACCGGTGGCACAGGTGCCTGGTTCTTCATCTCGTACTTCTCCCGGGCAATCATGTAGTTCTGAAAGCTGCGAAGCCAGGACGAGACTGCCCTTCGATTTCTGATCTGATAGACATAGTTTTTGTCCATCTCGAACACTTGGCTGAAGCTCTTGCCCTGGTTCTTGCCTGAGGGAATGACAAGGCTTCCCCATTGCTGGAGGTTCCGAATCCCCGGAGGAACATTGTAGTTCTGGCTCGGTGATGTCATGTAGGTCTTCTGCATCTGGAGACCCGGATCTTCGTCTCCTGAGAGACTCTGTTCCAGGTACAACATACTGCTCTGGTTGGTGAAGGTGTCCCTGGCCATCAGTGGCAGTGGAAGTCACTGAGATCACAGGGGGCCAATCTGTCTGAGCACTCAATTTGGCAGTGCCGTGCTGAATGAAATCACTTGGCAACGGTTTCTGTACAGGAAAAGCATGCATACTTTGACTGAATTCCTGAGATGGGTGTTTTGCGTTTCGTCTCAGCTTTGCCCTTTGTTTTTCAAGTTCATGTTGGTAGATTTCTTCCGTGTCATGGTGTGTGTTGTGTATATCCTCAATATTCAGCAGATCTCTCACACTCACGCACAGCAGATTCTTTCGGCAAGTTTTAAGGGGGATGGTACCAGCCCTATCTAAGAACCTCAAAACTTGATTTCGGGGATCTACCAATACACCAAGTTCCTTTAGGATGGCATTTGAGACCAAGAATGGGGTGCGACCTGGCACAACCTCAACTCGGATCCATCCCTTTTGCCTCCTGGGAATGCAAAGTGCATATTGACTCTGAAGAGTGCCACTGTTACCGAAGCGGAAATTGACAGCGGATGAGACCCTTTTGATGGGGGATTTCAAGAAAGGGGACAAGACTTGAACCAACTCCTGAACCCTATCCCCACCTACAACTGTCCTACTAGCCCCGGTGTCTATCACCGCCTCGCCGGCACATTCTTCACTCAGAGTGAAGGCATGTTCAGGAAAATTGGAATCCGGCTCAGCTGAGATGGTTATCTCCGGAGCTGTCGTGGTCAACGCTGCATCCACCGGAGATCGGGACATCAAACGCCCATGTTTCCTACAGCATTGTTGCAGAGCTCGGGGATTCAAAAGAGGAGTTTTTAATTCCAGCGGTCTTCCCAAATTTGTGGAGAGCCCCGGATCGGTGTTCTTGGGTGCACCATGTTTTTGGGTTCCCTCACCAAACCCTACTTCTCCAAAATAAACATGCTCACTTGGATACGGCTGACACAATTTCCATGATTCGGTGTTCCCAAAAACAAAATCACATGCAATCAAACCCCGTTGTTCACACAGGCCTAGGTCACTGTGCGCCTCTGGCAACTCGTAGATCAGCTCGGCATCCTGGTTCATGGCATTGGTGGTGTCATCCTCTTGAAGATGGAGAGCTTCGGCAATGGAGATCGTCTCGGCCTTGGGCTTTGCCTCCATGCGACTTTGCCCCAATGGGCATTCCCTCTTCCAGTGTCCATATTGTCCACACCGTCTGCATGCCGAAGATGCGATCCGATCGGCAAGGGATTTGGTCTTCCCTTTTCCACTTTTCCCCTTTTTTCCACGACCCTTGACGCCACCTGGTTGCATTGGCCAGAATCCTCGCCCTCGTGCTCGTTCTTTCAAGCGGGTTCGGGCCTCCAAGTACGTTGTGAAGCAGGATGCCAACTCTGGGGACTCCTGCACTGTCTCTATCAGAGATTCTTCGAAGTCATTGACGAAGATTGCATCCTCATCGCCGTTCTCGTACGTGGCTTGAAAAGCCACTTCCTCATCATACACCTCAGTTTCACCTATCATCATGTCTGCTTCTTCAGAAGTGTTCTCAGTGGTGTTGATGTCGCAGGTCTTGTTCTTGGCATTCTTTGGAACCCCTTGCAAGTCCTGGAAGAAGCGCGCACCCAGGAGTCGTAGAGCTCGACGAGCTTCATCATAGCCCAGCTCACCCTTGGATTCCATGATGATGCGTTTCCTGTCATCACCAGGAAGCTGCGATTGACGCAGAAGGATGTAGGCTCTGACCTCCTCCATGGTGACCTTCTGAGCCATTAAGTCCTCGAAGGCCACATCATGACGTGCTAAGTATGAATCATTTGATTCATCGGCCTTCTGAATGGTCTGGTAAAAGGCCTTTTCGAAGAGTGCCAGCTTCTCTTCGCTGGCCAACTTTCCCCACTGCTCTCCAAGGGCCTCAACAAGGAATTGTACCCCATCTTCACTGCGAAGACGTTGACCATCCAACCTTGCCACTTTCTGGAAAGCCACTCCTTCAACTTGTAAGGCTGCCCGAGGAGCCAGCTGGGACAGATGTTCTGTCGGCCAGATGCTTCGAAGAAACTGAAGTTTCCGGGCATACACCTGGATATCTGTCGACTGCGGGTCAAAACTCGGTATCTGGTGCCAGGGAAGCTGACTCGCTGGAAGGCTCGAGCCCTGACTCGTCTGCCCATTCTGAGACCGGGCTGCTTCCGCAGGATGGCCCCGTGGCGATTGGCTCATGGCTCGCACGGTCAGTAAATGACCAATTATGGAGGTGCTGTGCAGTTGATTCTGTTGTCTGAACCTAGACCCCGTCTAGATTAATTGAGGGAAAATTACCCTGCGGCAGCCGTAGCTCCGCTACCAATGCGAAACCTTATGGATATCCAAATCAGAATGGGGAGACCCTGTCTCACAACCGCTGTAGCCCCTTTTGACCTGTTGCTCAAGTTGTCCGCTCCCACCCACCTCAACTGAAGCCATGATTGGCGAGGCCAAGGAGTTCGTGTCAACTGCCGGATCAAGTGGCATCCAAGGATCTCATGATGGAACAAAGGTTGAAAGAAATCACAATATATATATATAGATATGAACGTATGAGGTGTATATATATATATATATATAGTATCAAACGCTTGACAGATATTGGCAGTTTTCACAGCCAAGAAGGGGCTGGATCCATCTCCCATGCGCTCTGCACTGAGGTGTTGCCATCACCGGGCAGAGGCTGGAAGAATCAAGGCCCAGGCCCCCCTGGGTGAAGCGGTGTTGAAACGTCTACTTTTTTGGTCCATTACAACCTGAGCAGATCTGAACAGTAGCTGTTAAAAGTGGTACTTACAATAGATCTAGCGCCATAGACTGCAAGGTATTAGAATGGGCAAGCTCACCTGGTGCAGAAGCTCTTTCAACTGCAGGAGATAGCCCAGAATCTCACGCGGTCGCAGGGACCTGTGCATTGCGTTTTGGTGACGACTCAAAATTTCAATTTTCCCAGTGACATACAGAAAGTCTCAGAAAGTCTAACTCTGTGCAACTCAGGTCTCTCCGTTGAGCCGAAAACGGCCAGATCAAGCTGAAAAACTCGGGGTGGCATCCACAGTCAGAGCCGACCAAAAGATCCAGGGCGTCAACCGCAGACTCTGCTGGACCTGAGGCTGCAGCACCAGCAAGACACTGCTGGAGCCGAGTTCCGTTCTTTACCAAATGGATCAATCACCTGTGCGAAGATGATCCAGGCATGAGAGAGAGAGAGCTCTTGCGATGAGAACTTTTGCCTTACGCTTTTGTCGCTCAGAACAAACCAATGAACATGTGCAAAGTCTAGGAATCAACATAGCTCCCCCTTATTCCCACCTGTTCAACTACCCTGGTTAATGCTGCTATAGCTGGATCTGGCATTCTTTAGCGATCTTGTGAAAGCATTTTTGCCAGGTTGGACTCCAGTTGAGGAGAGCAATTTCTTTGAAGATCTCAAGACTGGGTTGGTGTTGTGCAAGGTTGTGGAGAGGCTCGACGAACTTGTTTGATCTTTGCCACCAAATCAGCACGTCAGATTGTATCTGGTAGAGGCTTGTCCCGGGAGTCGACTTGACGACCAAAGGGATTTACCAAAAGCCTCGAACACGTCACTTGGATGAAATAAGTGACTTCTAGCAGTTGCAGTACCAATAGCGCTGCACTGCACTGCTCTGCACTGCTCTGCACTGCACTGCTCTGCTCAGTGCTTGGCCCAGTGCTCGGCCCTATTCGGCTCTCCCATCCTGTGGGCCAAGGCGCAACATGTGTAGCCAACATTGCCAAGACCTTATGGCGAAAACATGAAATGAATTTGGGCACGAAGCGATGTGCATATGCAGATACGTTCTAATACATCTATATTTGATTATATTTGCAAATAGTACAGTATCTACGAATATATTTGCAAAATTTTAGTAAACCAGCAGCAAAAATAGGCAGGAGAGGAGAGATTTGATACGTATTCGACCGTTGCTGATACTTTGTGAGGATAAAGCTCTGTCAGTGGCGTGGCGGACGGGGGTCCTCCAGACATGTTGATTGGATATTTTCAGTACTTGACTGCACCAAGCAAACTTGCAACCATGCTGCCAGGTGAACGCAACCAACATGTGCTCTGCTGAGGACATCTACGATTGCAAAGTGACAGCAGCAAGTACCTCAGGTCAGGTTCGAAGTAGTCTGACTGATTGCTCATCTCGTTTCAGAAGCATAGTTGCAATCATAATCTTCATTGCATGACTTGTACCCAGGCTACTCGATGTGTTTCAGAAATCTTTGAAGCGCTTCAAATGAGGGTGTCACGCTGGCCTGTCTGTCTCGATCCTGGACTGTGTAAACTTGATAGAACTATAGAGAACTTATTATAAGCTTGCAGGGAGTTGAGAGCATGAAAGCTACTGATGGATTTCCCCATGTGGACAAGCAATCACACGCCAGGCGTGAAGTACGAACCCGTTCACGTGAAATGCTGGTCTCGATGAATGCGCGGCTCTCTCCGATAGGCTTTGACTGCCAGCTGCAAGTCTCTGTAGACGGGTGGCTCCAGAACGATCCAGGATGTGCCCTTTCGAAAGCCACTCTCACTGGCAATTGCGAAGCACTGGTGGATGACTTTGCAGACTGCACAAAGATCATGGTCTGCACCTCAAGATAGCGCCATTTCTCATGCAGTGAAAGAGGCAGGTAACTTGTGGCCTTTGCCTGCTGTTCTTTTTTTGCAAAGCTGCAAAATAAATCAACACAACACACAAACAGACTGTACATGTGTAGAGAAATCACATCAAATAATAAATCAAGATTGTTGATTTGTAAAATGTGGCTGGGTTGCAGGGCCAATTTGCCGCTTGAAATCCTCACATGTTCACTTGTACACAAGGCCCTTTTGGTAAGTGCTGGGAAAGCTTCGGTGGAGGTGGAATTCTCCGACGCAGCCAACCTCTGATTGTTGTTCCTTGTTGGCCTTGCCAGGACTTGTTGAGTCTCGCTCATCGCGACCAGCAAAGCTGCCATGTTTGAGCAGCTGGATGTAGCTGGCACGTTTCAAGGGAAGTTCGCTTTGGCAGATTGGACTAGGACTGGCCGCCTACATGGTGCTGAGTTGGATACCGTGCTGGAAGAAAATGGCCGCATCTTGAGCGGCTGTGACAGCATTAGATATTGGTTTCGTTTGGTTCTGATATGGAAGTCAGGGGGGAGAAACCATAAGAAGTCATTTGAAGTCAATCTTCCAGAGATGCGTACAGGTCAGGTGCTGGAAGCCAATGGATGTCCTATCCTGCTGGCAGAGAAAGAGTTTGCCAGGCCACCAGCGTTGGGATGCCCGGCTTTGCCATACAAATCCTGACATATTCAGTTCACATCGGTTCACATCGGTTCACGTTCAGAGTAATTCCCTGTAGAGTCCAAATCCGTCAAATTTTCACTTCTGGCCGAATTGATCTATTGATATCTATTGTATGGTTTGGGCCACCAGGGGTAACAGCTGGTTATGTCACAGAGCCTCCATGCTGAGGCCATCTCCTGATACGCTACTTCTTCAACTACACTTCATTTGGCCATGACCTCAGCCGCAGTGAAGCTTTAAGCAGCGAAGCAATGCGAAGCAGCTAAACAGCTGGAAGGCGTGTAACCTTGGGAACACCTCCATCGCCAAGCCCTGACCTTGCAGCTCTGGCTGGGGCCTTCAGCACACAGCTGTAGCGATTTTAGGCTTGTCATATACAAATATTGCATCCACAGTTTATGTATATATTTGGAACATATATATATATATACATATGTACCTATATAGTATAGTATAAGATCAGATAGGATGGGATAGTACAGTATACTGTAGTATAGTACAGTATAGGACTAGGATATTACAGGATAGGATAGGATAGTATACTTTAGTATAGTACAGTACAGTATAGTATAGTATAGTATAGGATAGTATAGTGTAGTGTAATATAGAATAGATTAGAATAGTATAGTATTATATGATATGATATGATATTATATTATACTATATCCAACAGGCAAGGCTGAGTTGTTGGTTGCGAACGTAATGAGTATTCACCCCGCTTCGCGTGGGGTGGCCGCCCACACCGCAGGTTTATTTCGGTCCGTGAGAGGGGCTAAGGGTGGTGTGGAATATGAGGAGCAGAGCAGCACAGGAGAATTGACATACATAACTGCTGGGTTCGTGAATTTTCACTTTTCCCCCGTGAAGCTTCCCAAGCTAAGAATTTTCACTTTCCCCCCCCGTGGGGGCTCCCCAAGCTAGGGAATTTTCACTTTTCCCCCCCGTGGGGGCTTCCCAAGCTAGGGAATTTTCACTTTTCCCCGCCGTGGGGCTCCCCAAGCTAGGGAATTTTCACTTTTCCCCCCCGTGGGGGCTCCCCAAGCTAGGGAATTTTCACTTTTCCCCCCCGTGGGGGCTTCCCAAGCTAGGGAATTTTCACTTTTCCCCGCCGTGACAGCTTCCCAAGCTATGGAATTTTCACTTTTCCCTCCCTTTCTCCAAGCTGCGGAATTTCAAATAGCTAGACAACGACGCCTAGATAGTCCCCCAAATCCCGTGTTCTTTGAATGTGTTTCCATGTTTTTGCAATGGTTTCCTTCAAAGCACGGTACTTTACACTTTTGTCGCCATAAAACCGGTCGAAAACATCATGTTCGACAATGCTTCCAATTCCCTTATCTCCCCAACCGTTGAAAATACCGCTATTTACAGTGTTTTCTTCAATTTTCCATGTTCCAATGCCGGTAGCCAACTCCAACATATATACTAGACGACGGATGGCCCGAGAGCGTAGAGGAGCAGAGTCTTCTGTTGTTAGTATGGAGACACTATATTAAAGATGTATTATAGGCAGACGAGAAGAGTAGTATCAAGACAATATATGACTAGTACAAGACAATAGTTTGCATCGTATTTTTGTAAAGTTTTTCATACACAGAACTTTTTACAGACAGATGCTTTTGCACACAGAGACTTTTACACACAGAGACTTTTACACACAGAGACTTTAACACACAGACGCTTTTACACACAGACGCTTTTGCACACAAACACTTTTACACACAAACACTTTTACACACAGAGACTTTTACACACACAGACGCTTTTACACACAGAAGCTTTTACACACAGAAGCTTTTACACACAGACGCTTTTACACACAGACGCTTTTACACACAGACGCTTGTTACACATAGGCTCTTTTACACACAGACACTTTTACACACAGACGCTTTTACACACAGAGCCTTTTACACACAGACGCTTTTACACACAGACGCTTTTGCACACAGAGACTTTTACACACAGAGACTTTTACACACAGAGACTTTTACACACAGACGCTTTTACACACAGACGATTTTGCACACAAACACTTTTACACAAACAGAGCTTTTACACACAGACGCTTTTACACACACAGACGCTTTTACACACAGACGCTTTTGACACACAGACGCTTTTACACACAGACGCTTTTACACACAGACGCTTTTTCACACAGACCCTTTTACACACAGACGACGCTTACACACAGACGCTTTGACACACAGACGCTTTTACACACAGACGCTTTTACACACAGGCGCTTTTACACACATCGCAATTTTACTTCAGTTTTTGGCGATCCAACCTCATTTCGTGCGAAAGGGGCGTGCGAAAGGGTCGCGCGGGACAAGTTGAAATCGCAATTTTACCTCAGTTTTTGCCGATCGAACCTCATTTCGTGCGAAAGGGTTCACCGGAAACACGAAATCGCAATTTTACCTCAGTTTTTGCCGATCGAACCTCATTTCGTGCGAAAGGGTTGCGCCGGACAAGTTGAAATCGCAATTTTACCTCAGTTTTTGGCGATCGAACCTCATTTCGTGCGAAAGGGTTGCGCGGGACAAGTTGAAATCGCAATTTTACCTCAGTTTTTGCCGATCGAACCTCATTTCGTGCGAAAGGGTTGCGCCGGACAAGTTGAAATCGCAATTTTACCTCAGTTTTTGGCGATCGAACCTCATTTCGTGCGAAAGGGTTGCGCCGGACAAGTTGAAATCAGAATTTTACCTCAGTTTTGCCGATCGAACCTCATTTCGTGCGAAAGGGTTGCGCGGGACAAGTTGAAATCGCAATTTTACCTCAGTTTTTGACGATCGAACCTCATTTCGTGCGAAAGGGTTGCGCCGGACGACTTGAAATCGCAATTTTACATCAGTTTTTGGCGATCGAACCTCATTTCGTGCAAAAGGGTTGCGCGGGACAAGTTGAAATCGCAAT